GAGAGTTTCCCCACCACAGATGTCCTGTGGAGAGAACATGAAGGTTGAGGAAAAGCAGCCATGGGCTGAGCAGCAGTAAATCTCGGCCCTGGGAAGGATGAAAGTGGTGGGGTGTGGGCCCAGCTGATGCCATGAACACTGATCCTAGCAGGAGGGCTGCTGGGGGCTGCCTCCACTTGTCCTCACCACCTTGGCTATAGGACCCCAACTCACCCCTCCTCCTGGCATTGCCCCTCTGCTGCTCTGAGTTGGGGTCTGAGGAACAAGGTACTGGGAGGAGGAAGCTGCACTCACATATTTATGTTGCTTGCTCGTGGAGTTGGAACTGTCCCTGTAAGGACAACTGGTCATCTTTGGAACCAGTCTTCCTTAGACTCAATCAGCATATCACTGGGTTGGGAAGAAAATGTCAAATGGGAAGTTTGGTGAACTTGGGAGATTAAAGTCAAGACATCTTTATTTTCCTTCTGTGTATCATTATTAATAGAGATTTGGTCATGGTTATGCTAGAGAACTGGAGAAGTATATGCATAAATGAAAATTAAAAAAATATACTTATAAAATGAGTATAAAAAATGAGTAGCTCTGTGGGTATGCCACTGAATCCATGTTTGTCGAGAAAAGCCTCACTAGTTTGTCAAAGCCTCTCTTTTTTTTTTAAATTTAAGATCAATGATCTATATGAATTGTAGGGCCTGAGAATTTGGAAGGCATCGTAAGTCATTAATGGCATGACATGATGCTCTAGGTAGTGGCTCGTGAAGACACCTCTTCCCAGGAAAAGGAATTCAGTGACAGTGGTGCCCTTAAGGTTATGTTGATAGTAAATCTTATATGTCCTGAAAACGTAAATGGCATCAAGTCAGGGACTGAAAGAAATGAGCTCGGGATGAAACGAGACGGATGGGTTAGACCCCCAGTGGTGCTGAAAGGTTCATGGTCATGAAACTGAAAATAGGACCAGACTCATTTGTGTGAGTGCATTGTCTCACTGACTGTTAGTAGAGGAGTCCTTGCTGTGACACCAACATGAGGGAAGTTCTAGTGACACAGCTTGCTGCTGGGATCTCTCAACAAGAATTGTTTTATCAAATCAGCGAGTGCAATATTCTGGTCTCCAAAAAGAAATAAGCTTTTAATAATCTCATTCAAAACACGTGCAGTTGAGCTTAATTTGTCCTTCCAGGTGGGTCTGTTGTGTTGCATTTGGAATTGCCCACATACAACTTGGCATCTCCTGTTGGAATTCAGTCGATCCTAATTGTCAGTCGTCCATTCTGAGGACAACTTAAAATAATTGATAGTCACGATTGCAGTCTTTTATGGGGGTGATTGTGCTAGTTGACCAGCTTTCTGAAGATACCAGATACATCCACTTAGAATAAGTGTAAATTCTTTTTTAAATATCACAAGCTTCCTTGGAAGGCCAGCAACTCTGGGGCTTTTCCAGGATGCCCACCCCCAGGCTCGTGGGACCTGCTGAGACCTGGCCACCCAGAAGGTGGCACCTTGACTAGGCTTCCCTCAAACCACTTCTTAGAAATGAGAAACCCACTCCCAACCGGAATCTCTAGATCTCGTCAAGGGTAGGTTTATGAGTGACTTTTTGTCATATTGTCCGTGTGGGTTGGCATTTTAAACAGCAAATGTACATTGTTTCTATAATTACCCAAAAAGGGTTTTAAAACATCTGTCATCTTTTATATTGCTTCCTTTTATCCATTCCACCCATAATGAGATTGTTCTCTTCCTCAAAAACCCTTCACTTCCTAGATGCAGACCAAATGGAGCAGGAGGAAAGAAAAACAACAAAAAAATTTTTTAGCACATGATAAATCACTGCGTTACCCTTTCTGTATTAGTTTTTAACCTTAGCTCAGTTGGGTAGGGACAGGATCAATATTGGCCCTGTATTGATATCTTATCTCGTTTATTTGATTTTTAATCATGGTACCTTTACCCTGGTGACCTGGTAGCAGGGTATTGGCACCTTTCAGCCTTGATCCCTAGAATGGTGCTGTTGGAGGGTTAGTTTGCAGGACACGTGCATGGATGTTGGGGCCTCAGAGAGCTGACTTGGGGACCATGAAGGATTGGCCTCGTTGAGGACTGTGCTTGCCATTCCATCCCTGCTCTGGTATAAGGGCTTCTACCACAGGCCCTGCTGTAATGATCTTCAGACGCGACCTTCCCACTTGATTTTCCTTTTGCCCTATGTAGTGGTGGGCTCTGAGAGTGTCCCCAAGGGTCCTAGCCCCTTGAGTAGAGTAATAGAAATTGATATAACTGCATAAAAATGCTCATGAATTTAAAGGAAGAATCGTCTAATCTCAGGTTACTTTCAAGGTACAACTTTGTTGATCCCCAATACTGTCAATTGCCTTTTCCTGTTGGGGTTTCCTCTACTTAAAGTCTTTGAAGAGCCTGGGTGGATTTGTAAGCTGAGATGGGCCAAAAGCAAAGGGTAGAGCAATTTTCTGGTTGCATTCATGTAGATAGTCACTTGGCCCTTTTTTCATTCCTTAACTTCCTTGGGTTCCAACTCATTCCTGATGGAAGAGTTTCCATCCATGTCCTGGTTGGTGGGGTGGCATGAGATTTTGGGATCTAGAGCTGGATGCTTTTTAATCCCCATTCACTTTGTTTATGAAGTCTCCACTCTGCTCTCATTCTTCTTCGCCAGTGTCAAGTTTTGCAGCTAAACTATTAGGAAACTGTAAAAAAACAATTTACAGTAAACTGTAAAGTAAAATACACCAGTATTCCCCCGGGTTAAGTGCTAAGTCAGTAATGTGTAATTTGAATGGTCTTTTTTTCTGTTCTTCTTACTCTTCTAATGTGCATATGCATGTTTGATTAATTGGATCAACATTTGGCTTGGGACAGGTGCATCAAGATGCTTCTTTTATATCTTCTAAAGTCTAGATTGTGAGTTCCTCGAGGACATAAACAGTCAGTCTCCCATCATTCAGCAATGTTTTCATCCATCCAAATCTCACTGCGCATGGTAAGCAAGCCCTTATACCAGGTCTGTGCTCAGTACTGAGGATGGCAGCCCCAGCAACCAGAGAACTTCAGGTTGACTTCTCAAGACAGACATTAAACAAATTACACAAATTGTTCTTTAGAATTATTTTTCAAAAATGCCAAAACAAGTAGAGAATATTGTTCTAGGAGCATTTATTCTGGCTGAGGAGCCCAGGGGACTGGGGACTAAAAGTTGTGTTGGAGGGCTGAGGGAAGCACGTTTCAGACAGAAGGAACAGCATGCAGACATCTCCAAGAGAAAGAGAAACAAGTGCTTCTGAAGACTGTAAAACTCCCCAAGTGGCTGGGGGGCCATGCATGGGGTGTGGGGAGGCAGGCAGGGGGAAGGAAGGAGGAGGCAGGGCCAGATCCCTTTTGCATGCTGAACCTGTCTCAAACTTTCACCTAAAAGAAGTGTGAAGGCCACTAAAACAAAGAAGTGCCACAGTCTGATGTCCTTTTATAAAAAGCATCCTACCTGTTGTAGAGAATGGATACGGGGCATGGGTAGGGTGGGGAGACTGATATGAGTCAACAGAGATTGGGTAGGAGAGACGCTTGGGCCATGACGAAGGAGTAGAAATGGTAAGAAGCAATGGATTCTAGAGTGGTTAAGAAGGAGTAGCAAAAGGTACTAACAGGGAGAAAAAAAAGTTACTGACAGGGAGACCTAGTGGGTAAGGAACCGTTACTGAGTCTGGGCTTTGGGTTTGAGGATAAAGATCCTAACTTCCTTTTGCACTGTGACTGGGGGCTGTGAGAAGCCCCAGCGGATGTTGGTTTGGAGTTCAGATGAGAGCTCTGAGTTGTCATGGGAATTTGGGAATTGTCAATGATCAGATAGTAATTGAGGCCATGGATGGGAATATGGGCCCCTACTGTGAATATAGGAGGGTCTGAGGACCTCCAACATGGAAAAGGTGAGTGAGGAAGAGCCTGCCTATGGGGCAGGGCTGGGGCAGCCTGAGGAGCACCTGAGAAGCCAGTGGCCACCGTAGGGAAAGGCCCCAGATAGAGTCCGGAATGGGCGGGAAGGGCACACAGCAGGATCTGAGTACATGGACCTTAAATTCTCTCTCTCCTGTGCAAATCTGCTTGGATCAGGGATGAGTATGATCTATGCATTCAGAATGCAAGCTTGTGACTTGTTCTTACACAAACCCATTTGTCAGCAAAGCTTCAGGTTTCATTGGGGTTTTTGGAAAGCTGATATCATATACCACTCTTTTCTGGAGTGCGACCATATTGATTCTCCTTTCAGAGCAACTTTAACTTCAGAGGAAGACGAGTCCATAAAATCAGAATAAAGATTCATGAACCACAGTGATACTGGGATTAATAGGACCCTGGTGGAATACCATCAGCAATTTTCCTATGTCTGGCATCTCACCTTTAGAGTCCTAATTTTTGACATGGTTTCTCTATACTAAAATGCAGATGGTGTGACCAGTGATTGCTATTTGGGGCAATACTCTACTGGCCATGTAAGGGACACTACTCCCTCTTGAATCTTTCACATCTGAGTAAGTGCACTGAGATGAATCAGTGATATTTCCAGCAGTTTAACCATAGATCCGGTTCCTTTGTGGTTGAGGGAGACTGACAAGTGGAGCACGTCTGAGGATGCTTTTAGGTAGTTTTCCCGTCCTCTCCCCACAAACCCCATGCCAAATCCTTATTTCCTGAAAAGAAAAAACAAAGATTTTCTTCTAGTCCCATGATTCTTACTCCTTAACATTAAATTTTAAAATCTAAATCAAATTACTCATGCCATAAAATAATGTTGCTTGCTACATTTTGTCCACTTCATGAAAGTGATTATGATCCTCGTGCAATTCTTCCTTTTACATGTTGATTGCCCAAGCCAGGTATCTCGGTGGGGGTGGGGGCACAACGTTCTTCTTTCGGGTAATGTCGCTGATTTTGTTTGCTTGGGATACACGCTGAGTTAACCTCGTTGGACTTTTCCCCAGGAATTGATGCGCGTACACGTGGTGGGTCATTATGCTGCTGCACCTGTGTAGTGTGAAGGTCAGTGTGTTTTTCTGATTATAAGAACCCATCCATGTCATTCCATTATATACCCACTCCACTCATAATGGAATGTGTCTCAGCCCACAGCCCACTGTGGTTGCCCGGCCCAAGAATTCTCTCAAGTGCACCTCTGACATTTGAGATCCATCACCCGTCCCTCCCCTGCCACCTGCATCCTCCCTTAAAGACCGTGCTCCATTTTGAGATGATGTTTTTTGCATGTCAAGTTTCCCTTGTGTGATGTGAACCTATAGTTGTCGCAAGTGACTTTGTACCTGGAAACAAGCACTCTGTGATGGTCCTTCCAAAGTTATAGCTGAGAACTCTGCTGGGCTGTGGGGAATTACCTTACTGTTGATGTGGATGCACGGAAATTCACATGGAGACCAGGACAGCAATTTCTCCTGCTGACTTGGTCAGGCCAGCCACCAGGAGGTTGCCAGTTCATTGGCGGGGGCCTCTTGCAGCTGGTGGGGGGGTGGGGGCTCTCCCTGGAAGGGCTTTCCCCAGATCCCTTCAGACTTCATGCCAAGTCCCCTCCTTCCCATATTTCACAGCTTTACAACTGTCGGTGAGAGACCCTGGTTTATAATAATCATAGTTCACACTAGTGGACACTCTATGTCATGATATGTGTTAGATGCTTTTGCTGCATGAATCCTCTCTACCCGCAACAATCTGAAGAGGTAGGTATGACCATTGTTCCCAACTTATTTTCGAGGGAACTAGGCATAAAGGGCCATATCACTGCTGAGTCTCCGGGTGGGTAAGTGAGGGGCAGGGACCTGCCTGTCTGAGCTGGAATCTCCATCCACAGGCCCTAGCGTGGCAACCCTTAAATGAGGCTTTTGTCTAAAAAATAATTAAAAGCTCACATCTGCATAGTACTTCCCATATGTACTAAGCATATCCACATGCATATTCAGCTAATCTGTGAAATAGCCCTGCAGTAAGGAGAGCAAAGCCCTGAGATGTTCAGTGAGCATCTTGGCATTCATCAGCTTGCAGGAGGCATGCAATCCTCAAACTCGGGTCTTTCTCCCACCGCAGGGCACTGCGTGCAACTTACCCACAGGGGAGCTGTCTTAATTAGTAAGTTTAGAGTAACGCACTTAGGGAATGAGCATTTTATGTGTTGTGTTCAGGAAGCATTAAATTAGTACTTAATCATATGCTGCCAAATGTGTAGGGGCAATCGCAGTGCAGTAACTTTAAATGTTTCACTTTAAATGTTAAACTTTTCTTATTGTGTCTCCCAGTCTGTTGTGCTGTCAGCAGCAGCTTTATTTCTCTGAGTTTACTCAGCTACCCACCAACTAGTCTTCCCCTTTGGGGAAGACTGGACTTTCTTTAAGAGAATGCTTTTCCCAATGCATAGCACTCTTGTCTGTTTACATTCCCCTGGGACTTCTGAATTTTCTCTTTGGCTATAAAGATGCAATAGGAAGTCTTTTTTTTTTTTTAAGATTTTATTTATTTACTTGACAGAGAGAGAGAGACACAGCGAGAGAGGGAACACAAGCAGGGGGAGTGGGGGAGGGAGAAGCAGGCTTCCCGTGGAGCAGGGAGCCCGACGCGGGGCTCGATCCCAGGACCCTGGGATCATGACCCGAGCCAGAGGCAGACGCTTTAGGCAGACGCTTAACGACTGAGCCACCCAGGCGCCCTAGATACAATAGGAAGTCTTAAAAATACCTTTTGGATGCATTTAACATTCTGGGATTTTTGGATGCATTTAACATTCTGGGAGAATGTTCTCACTTTCCTCTTTTGAGGACGGGTATCCTTCGAAAGTTAGGCCTTCCCTGTCCCAGAGAATCTCAGCTTACGTACATCTTCAGATCCAGGCTTTGCGTGGAATATAACTGCAAAGCTAAGTGGGCACACAGATAATCTCAGGGGGGTTTATTAGCAATCCGAGAGACACAATGTCCTAATATTCTCCCTTGACATTTATGTGAGTGAGCTCCCCCTGATTAACAGGACGGAGAAGACAGAGATCAGACTGATGTTCCCAAAGGACTTAGCTTGTGAAATATAAGCGTAACCACAACCTCCTACACAATGACCCTAGAAACCCAAAGGGACAGAACACAGCAACCTTATTCCCAGTTTCTGTGGAAAGTCAGCGCAAAACTCCTTGTCCCAAATTGCATGATAAAGGAAATGTCACAGCCCCATTGCTTTTGTGTTTTTTGTTTAGATCTTCAAAATTAAAAATAATCCCAAGGTTCCCTATGCCTTTCTGTAATATTTTTCAAGATTTACCATGGTCCAAAAGAAGTCTGCATTACTAGCTGGATTTATAAAAATACCTGGAGATGAACGAGAGATCACTTAATGCGGATATCTGACCATTTAATGCAGATACACTCTTCAGGTTCTGGAATGATCCTCAGCAGGATAAATGCTAATCTCTGGAAGAAGCCTAAATAAGGGGGAATTTCAGGCCGAGACTAGTGCTTCTCAACAAGGGGTCCGTCTCAGATCACCAAGTATAGCTTTGCATGTGCAACCTGGTCATCTGCATTTTGAAAAAGTTTCTGGGGTGATTCTTATATGCACCCCTAGTTGAGAACCACCGGCTAGAACTGATGGGAGTTAAACCTCTCTGTATGGGTGAATGAGAACAGAACAGAAATCTACACTGCAGATCTTTATGCTACAAAGAGGATCTTACTGCTCAAAGATAGGCTTCCTAAAGCCTGTAAAAGGTCCTTTTTGGAAAAGCAAACAAATAGACAGAGGAGTTACATGTTGCAATGACTAGCATCTCTGTGTCTGTTAGGTCCCCCAGGGCATAGATACAGTTGTGCAAGAGAGAAGTAACACCTGTGAAAGAAAAAGGGAGGAAAGAAAACGGGTTGGGAGCTTCAGCCTGACCGTCTCTTCCACCCAGTGGGACCTTCAGTAGCAAAGCCTGCCTGCTCAGAAACACCCATGCTGGGTGGGGATCGGCCAGGCCCTTGGACCCCCACCAAGCTCAGAGCGCTGTAAGACCATGACCACACCTCATAAGCTGAGGTGTCCCCGAAGGAGCTGGCAGCTGGAAGCAATGAATCCTTATCTCCATTGTTTGCCATACTCTCCAGAAACTTTAAAAAAATCGGTTCTGGGCTTTTCAGATTTTGGTCAGAAGAAGCTGGAATAGGGAGGCAGAACTAAGACGAGGTCCTGTGCTGGAATTCACTGCCTTCCGTGGAGGGACAGAGGGAAATGGAAGAAGTAGGGAGACAAACTTGGCTCATTAGAGTTCTCTCTGTGTCAGGGGATGTGCTAGAAGTCAGGACTCGGAAGAATAGGGCATTAAGATTTGGGGGATCTTAAAAACCCCTCATGTAGGAAGTGAACCCAGAGAGTGTGCTATCCCAGATCATCCAGGGAGGCAGGACTTACGGGGGGGTGTCAGCCTCTGCTCCACCCAGCTTCACGTCTGCCTGAGATTGACTGCACACCCCTCCTGAAACAGAATGTTCCTTGTCTGTTCATTCTCCTTCACCTCAAATTCTGTATGATAAAAAGAAATTGCATGTCTTCATAACCTTAGTGTTCTTGCTTAAAGTCTTCCAAACTGAAAATGATCCCAAAGTTTCCTATACCCTATCGCCACACCATCACATCCTGGAGGTGAGCTCTGTATCTAGAACGTATTAGTAGACAGAGGTGTGGATCCTTGGGCATCTGAAGCCCACAGCCAGCTTCCCTAAATCGCCACTATATCTCTGTCTTGCTTTTCAGTTATAGTGTCATTCAGGTATAAATGGAAAGTCATCAGAGGCCTTTAATTCCACCCCACAATTTGTCATCTTGACACCAGTAGAAAATCAGCAATGGAGAATCATTAATTCTCTACATTTATTGACTTGGGAACTCAGTTGAAGGATCCACTGCTCTCCTCCCTCCCCTCCTCCTCCCCCATTTCTCAGCCCCTCATAGATTTCAGGTTCTGAAGTCCTAAGCCACCGTATTGCAGTAACTACTGAAGAGATAAGCTCTAAATCTCCCTGCACATGAAGCCACAAGCTCTAGACTTCACTGAGTTGGAGACCACCAAGCTCTGCCCCCGGCTCTTCTCCACTCAATGCCTTGAATTCAGCTTTATTGGACCTTGAGAGAAAAATTATGTAGCCCAGCACTGCTAGTGGGTGAGCTGAGTCATGCCCTTGGCAGAGTCAAGGAACTACATCAGAGACCAGTATCCTTAGGTGAACCTAGAAGGGGTATGACCTGACAGGCGACGTCTGCTCCAGGGGCTGCTTGCCCTCTGCTCCCCAACAAGTGATGGGTACCCCCTCCTCAACCCCCTCAGAGCCCAGATCCTCTGGGGAGCGTTGACTCTGCCCAATACCTGGGGGGAGCTTTGCCATCAGTATTTTCCCATTAAGAAGCAGCAATCTCAGCACAGAAATAAAACTGCCCTGCTGACTTGCTCACAGCCTGTCCCCATAATTGTTCTGAGTGTCATCCTGACGCAGCAGCCCGGGCAGAACAGGCCACACAGGCTCACCTCTTTCTGTTAACCCTGCCCAGCAGGACCAGAGCCTCCAGCACAGAGCAAGGCTGTGGCACTGAACATCCTCTTGGTCTGCTCTTTAGAAGGTGTCTTGTTTTGAATACATAATCTGTCCTGTTCTTTCAAAGTAAGTGCTTTTATAAAAGGTCTGGACTGTCCTTTAAACATATTTTTCTCTCACTTAATGGGGAATGTATTTCTAGTTATTTCTAGTCTCTTTGTGGCTCAACTTTAGAAAGGGAGACAGGTAGGGGAAGGATGCTTTTGTGTGGAACTCAAAGATTGGTTTAAACTAGGGCATGCACATTGCATAGCTATTTTCCTCAGACAGCAGGTGGCCGAAAACGTGCATGTGTAGCTAATTGTTTTGAGCTTTGCTTGTTCGAAGTAGAGTGTAGTAAGTGGTTTTGTTCAAGCAAGGGAGTGCCAGCTTTATATGTGGCCGCAAATCAGACGCCTCTCTTCTTGGTAGTGCTGGATTTAG